GGGGGGGGGGTTTGGACTAGTTGACCTACAAGGTCTCTTCCAACTCTGTTAATCTGTATTCTCAGCCAATTTTATGATGTCAATAGCTTGGTTCCTCTTTCCTCTAAACCAGGGGTCTCCAACCTTGGCCGCTTTAAGACTGGTGGACTTCAACTCCCAGAATTCCCCAGCCAGGCAGCCATTTCTGTTTCTTTTTTGTCTTATCCTCTCCAAAGAGGAGAGAGTGCAGAGGAAGGGATTACAAGAGAGTAAGCTTTGCTGGCTGGGAATTGAAGTCCACAAGCCTTTAAAAAGCGGCCAAGGTTGGAGACCCCTGTCCTAAAACAAACCCGCGGGCCAGACAAGGAACAATGGATGGAAACTGATCCAGGAGAGATTCAACCAGGAAATAAGGAGGCATTTCCTGACGGGGAGAGCAATCCGCCATGAAAATATCGGAATTCACGAAGGTTCAATAAACCATTTTCAATTCCATTGGCAGGATTTTGCCAACACCATTCCTGGGCACGGGGGCATCATGGATCGATTCGACTGCCAGTACTTGATGGCCACTTTTGTCAACGTGTATATCGCCAGCTTTATCAGGTGATGGGTGTGTGTGTGTCTGTGTGTGTGTGTGTTTCTCCCCCTAACCCCCACCACAACCCCCCGTTTCTACCCTGCTTTTCCGTCGAAAGAAGGCGGCGCTGAGAGAGCACCAGCAAACGGAGCCGTCATGAGCTCCCATTCCGCAGGATCCGGACCGTATCCCAGTTGGTTGCAGCTCTGGGTCGTCGTAACCTCCGGGTCCCGAAAGTCGGGGAGCGGAACTGGGACCTCCAGGGAGCTGCACAAGGATTTGCTTGAAAGGAGAGTTGATCCCAAAGGTGCTTTTGATCCAAGAGGCAAGTGGCCTTTCTTGGTTTTGTTCTTGGAAGACGTTTCGCTTCTCCTCCAAGAAGCTTTTTCAGTTCTGACAGGATGATGGGGGAAGGAAGGGTTGATACTCCTTGCAGACAGCTGGTCCTTTGCATCCTTTTGTCAAAATTGAACAACTAAGGGGGAAGGATACTTCATCATCATCCTCATCCTCATCTATCTCCAGTCTACCATACAGTCCTTTCCAGCCGTTCCAGGGAGGCTCCACACTCATTTGCACCACTCAGGTGAGCCTGAGGACACAGGTAAACCTCCAAGCGGCCTCAAGGACCCTCTGAAAGGATGCAAATGACCAGCTGCCTGCAAGGAGCGTCAATCCTTCCCTTCCCCACCATCCGGTCAGAGCTGAAGAAGCTTCTTAGAGGAGAAGCGAAATGTCTTCAGAGCAAAACCCGAAAGTCCAGTTGCCTCTTGAAAAAAAAAACACCTTTGGGACAACCAGGACCCGGAGGGCTGAGAATCTCCATCGATATTTCCCTTCCCTTCTCCTTGTTTTTCTTTGAAGACGTTTCGCTTCTTGGGTGAGGAACGGAAGCATTTATCCATCCAGTCAGAGTTGAAGAAGCTTCTTGGAGGAGAAGCGAAACCTCTTCAAAGCAAAACCAGGAAGTTTGGTGGCCTCTTGGGAAGGAAAAAAGAAAGAAAAAGGCCCTTTGGGACACCCAGGACCCGGAGGACTGAGAACCCCCCTTGTCAAGGGGAAGGACCCCCCCGCCGTTCTGGTAGGGACCGTCTATCTGACCTCCTCTGTTCTTGTTTCCCGCTTTCCAGGGGCCCCAATCCGAGCAAGCTCATCCAGCAGCTCCTGACCCTGCGGCCCGATCAGCAGCTGAACATCTTCAACACGCTCAAGGCTCACCTAGCCGACAGGGGGGTGCTCCCCACTTCCGAGGACGCGTAGCAGCTGGGCGGTCGGACTGTGACTGAACAGCCCCCCCCCTCCTCCTCCCCCCTCCCCCACCCTAGGGCCCCTGCCCACCCATCCAGCTTGCCTGGTCTAGCACGATAACCGAGCCCCTCTCACTTTCTCCTTCCTCTCATATCAAAAGTGGGGGTGTCGGGGGCTTTTGGCGGGTTTGGGGGGGGAGTTTGTCTGCTTCCATGCGGACAGGAGAAGAAATTTGTTGAGAAGAAATTTGGGGCGCAGGGAACAGACGTGGCTGAGTGTGTTTTAGAGCACAGCCCCTTCCCCTGGGGGTTTTCTCCTCTTCCTGGGGCTGGGTGGGCTGGGGGGGTCTTGTTTTTTATTTCTCCCCCGGGATGAGGTGGACAGGGAGATGGGAGGAAGGAAGCAGACGGCATTTGGGAGGAAAGTCCTTCGTAGCTCAGAAAACGAGAGGGGTCCCTCTGGTTGTTCACTGACGTTCCTGAATTGTGTTGGATAGCCAATAATGGTGGTTGGCAGTTGACCAAACGGTCCAGAGACCAAGAATAGCCCCAATGCCTCCCACGTTGGCCTCTCTCTGGGAGCTGCTCAGCCATTCCTTTGGCCAGGAGGCAATTTGCAGTCTTGATGGATGGGAAGTGTGTGTGTGTGTGTGTGTGAGAGAGAGAGAGAGAGAGAGATTGCAGAACCTCCCAAACTAGATCGTTCTAAAACGGGGGTCCCCAAACTTGACCACTTGTAAGATTTGTGGACTTCAACTCCCAGCATGGCCGGTTGGAGAATTCTGGGAGTTGAAGTCCAAAGTGGCCAAGTTTGGAGACCTCTGATGTAGAGGATGAGAAGATTGCCGGCTTCCTTCCCAGCACCTGTTCATGAACCAGAAGACCAAAAGCCCCCATGGGCTTCAGGACGTGTGAATGGCTACCTACGTCACCGCTTGCGAGAGAAGGGCAGCAGGAAAAATCCCTCTGCGTGACGCCAAGCAACCCAGAAAATCGGCACAGAAATGAGTTTGCTTCTCAAAGGCAGCTCGTTGAAGGCCACAGGAACAGCAGAGGAGGTGTGTTACGTACGGTCTCTTGAGAAGGGAACCCACGGCAGGAAGGAAGTGAGCCGGCACGGCTACAGAGAGAATTTGGCGGGGTGTTGATCAAGGTGAAAAGAATGGAACTGGCTGGAAGGCAGAACTAGGACGCTTGTTGGCATCAAACGACTCGGCTCCAGAGAAACTTGTTTGATTTTTTTGGGGGGGGGCGTTTCCCAGTGCGTAGAGAGGTGCTCTCCCCACCTCCACCCACAGCGTGGCCTGATACCAAAATGCAACAGGGAAATAAGAACAGGAAGCGAAGAAAGTAGTGTCTCCGTTTACCCCAGAGGTCTCCAAACGTGGCCGCTTTAAAACTTGTGGACTTCCAGCCTAGTTGGCTGGAGAATTCTGGATGTCCACAAGTCTTAAAAAGTGGCCGAGGTTGGAGACCTCTGGGGTTTACCCTTTCCAAAAAGTCGATCTGAGAAGAAGTGAGGCTTAAGACCGAACGTGTAAATTCATCCACATCATAGATGAACCCTTTGACCCGAATGTCGCTCTGGATAAGGAAGTTATAGGTTGCCTTCTCTGTCTGCGCAGGCTTCTTGGCCTGCAGCCTTAACCATCCAACCCCCCACCCGCCCACCCCTAGGTTTGCTACGGGGCTGGAGCTCTTGTTTGGCAAGGGATTCGACAGCATGAGGAGAACGTCAAGAAGAGGCGCCTCTTGGAACAAGAGACACCAGGATGGTCTACCTTTTTAGAAAGCCTGGCGGGACCTGGATCGAAGCCCACCTCTCCCATTTCTTGAGCAACTGTCCCGTGAAGGCATTCGCGCAGGGGTCTCTGGAGCCAGGCGTAAGGATTGGTGATGATACCGCAGATAAGATGTGGACAGTGGATTGTATGTGCGGCCTCTTGCACCCCGTTTTTGCTCTCGGGAGGCTTCCCTGAGGCTCAGCAGGCACACACAAAAATATTATTTATGCCTCCTGGGACTCTGGGCAGTGTCCTGGGCGAAGCAGTGCAACAGCTAGAAGGGGGATCAGCTGTGCCGCACCATTTAGCTAGAAAATCACCCAGCACAGCTGATCTTTGGAAAACAGCTGATGGTTGGGGGAAAAACAAACGAACAAGGAAATACCTTGATCTTCGGAGCGAACCAGTTTGACTGAACCGGGCCAAACCGGTAGAATTCCACCCCTGATGGGATGGTACGGGAGGGCCACGTGTGTGAAGCAGTTGGGCACCAGTTGTGGGTGCAGCTCTTTCATTCCAGCCTGTCCAGCAGCCTTAAGCTGTGGGAGGCCTTTGAAAACGGGGCTCTCAACCTCAGCACGTTGAAGCCCCCCCGCCATTCTTGAACACCGCTGAGGGGGAGAAACGCTGTTGTACAGGATTAGATAGTGTTCCCCTGAGCTCCTCCGTGATGCTTGCTAGGAGACCTCCGAACGTCTCTTTTGAGAAGCAAGCAAGACGCCATGAAGTCCTGGAGAAAGGTCAACAATCCTGAAGTTTTTTAGGGCTCTCCAAACTCGAAGACTTGTGGACTTCCAACAGCACAGGGCTGGCTGGGGAATTCTGGGAGTTGAAGTCCACAAGTCGTCAAGTCGCCCGCCCTAACCCCTGCTGCAACCGAAAAAAGCCGGCGACCTCTAGCCATGCTCCCCTCTTCTCCCCCCTCACCATATTTCCTTCTGCTAAACAACCCCAAACGTTGGTAGTTTCTAGTGCCCCACCGGCCTCCTGTAGACAGCACCTAAATCTGGCAAAATTAGTCCGGCCAGCATAGCTACCTGAGCATCTGAGTGAATCTTCCTAGCCTCGAGCTCCGTTCAGAAGTTGTGTCTCCTACTCTGCGACCCAATTCTTTTTTTCCCCCTCTTTCCGTGCTTCTTTCTCTGTGCAATGTCCTTTTGGGGAGGGTGGGAGTTGATGGCTGTATTGTTTCTTTGCAGATGCCCATAAGGCAGGCGGGTCTGCAGGATGGGGTCAAAAGGCTCAGGATAGGGGCCACACCGGCGCAGTCAAAACCTCCGCGTTTTTTAACGTGTGCTGCAAAGCAGGCGGAGCTTCCGTTACACCCTTTATGGCCCCCCCATCCTGACTCTTAACCATACCCAACAAGACAGCCTCGTCCATAAGCTAGTCATTGAGTTATATGGGTTTTAAAGAATTTTTTGTTGTTATTGTTTTGTTCTGACTGTCAGAATGTGAATTACTGTACAAAGGCATTTTACCCTATTTATATACTGTAATGTTATTATTAAATAAAACATATCTAAAGTAATCATTTGTGCATGCAACTTTGGAAAAAGGGGCTGATTTCAGAAGAGCATTTTGTGTGAATCCACCTTTCCCAACCCCCACCATCTGCACCCTCCCTGGTTGGCACCCAGAGTTGGGTGAATGTGATGACCCAAAGGGGCGTGGCACAGAGGCAACCCACTCAGATAATCCGTAGGAGTCCCTTTATTAGCTCCAACTTTGCCCCCAATGTTGTCCTGGTTATCTTCTGGGCTGGAGAAAAACCCTCCCGGGAACAGCCTTTGGATGCAGAGAATCAAGTCCAAAATGTGGTCAACAAAAACTATAAGTCCAATCAAGGCAAAATGAGATAATTAGTCCAGCAGGGCAAGAGAAGGAATTCCAGACATAGACATGAAGGAACGGCAGTAATTCAACACGGTTGGGAGGACGCCAGGAACGCAGATAACCAAAGTCAACACAAGACAAACTCACGTTTGTTCCCAGAAGATTGACACACTCAACATGCATCTCTTTTAAACCCTCCTTCCCAGGTGTGCCTAATGAAGGGAATCGGGGCCCTTTCCTCCCCCGTAAGCCATGCAACCCACGTTGCTCCCTTTCTTCCCTGCGTGCCCTAGGATGAAGAGCGGGTGGGCCTGGGTCTTCCTCTCAACTCCCTCTCCCTTGTTCTGCCTCTTCCCTGCTCTGCCCAGCCGGACCTTGCCCTTCCCCAGTTTCCTCCACAGCCACCGGAGCCACACCTCCCACTCCCTGTCAGCTGCTCATCTTCCTCCTCGCATTCAGACTCCGAAGGGGGCAAGACAGTGGACCAGATTCCTTTCAGCTTCCGTGGATGACTGATTTGGGGCAAAGAGGTGGCATGTGCTATAAATGGCGTAAACCACAAACACAACTCAACATGAAACGGGTGTAAAACTCCAATTAGATTTAGACTGGCCTGCAATGAGTCACGTGCCCAATTTACAATCTTTCTTGCCACAGGTGTTACATGAATCACAGCAGTTTTTGTTCAGCTAGTTTCCCCACTGACTGCTTGTCAGATGGTCACACCCTGGGAACACATGACTTTGGGACGCTGCAACTGTCAAGCAACCAACTTTTGACCACAAACTGCAACGCTTGTAAAGTGTGAAAAATGGTCACGGCTCATTTGTGTTTTTTTTCCAGGGCCGTTGTAACTTCGAACAGTCACTAAAGAAGTGATTGTAAGTCGGGGATGACCTGTATTGTTCTGGGGCAGCGTTCTTCAAACCTGGCAATTTTAATGAGTTGTGGACGTACAAATAACAGACAGATAATCAGAGTTGGGAGGGACCATGTAGGTCATTTAGTCCAACCCCCCGCCCAAACGGGAGACCCTACACCATTTCTGACAGATGGCAGTCCAATCTCTTCTTGAAAGTCTGAACTGATGGCGCTCCCACAATTTCCGAGGGCAACTTCTGTTCCATGGGTTGATTGTTCTCACTGTCAGAAAGTTTCTCCTTATTTCCAGGTTGAATCTCTCCTGGATCAGTTTCCATCCATTATTCCTTGTCTGGCCTACAGGAGCTTTAGAAAATAGCTTGACCCCCCTTCCTCCTCTCTGTGGCAGCCCCTCAAATATTGGAAGATGCTCTCCTGTCTCCCCTGGTCCTCTCTTCCCTAGACTAGCCAGGCCCAGTTCCTGCAACCGTTCATTGTATGTTTGAGCCTCCAGTCCCCTCATCATCCTGGTTGCTTCAGCTTCCAGAATTCCTTAGCCAGCATGGGAGTTGGGAGTCCATACCTCTTAAAGCCTGGTGAGTAGGGAATTCTGGAGTTGAAGTCCAGGCTTCTTCACGTGGGCAGAATTGGGAACACTGCTCTGAAGAAAGGGTTGTTTTGAGACCGATCATCTCCCCCTGTGCCTGTGCTTTAGGGAAGGTTCCCCATGGAGATATTGGGTGAATGCTCACCTACTCTTGAATCTCTAAGGCAGAGGGCCCCAAATTTGGCCACTTTAAGACTTGTGGACTTCAACTCCCAGAATTCCTCAACCAGCCCCAGTAATGCCCAGAGGGATGACTGAGCCAGAAGAACCAGTTAAATTGCTGAAGGGGGGGAGAAGTTGCCGGTCCAGCCTCCGGTTCCTCCTCTTGCTTCTGATGTTGAGTTCTGTTGCTTCGGGCTACTTTGATTGACGGCTGGAAATCCCTCTTTGGCCTCAATGTCGGAGAACCCCTGCAAAAGTTCTCCCTCCAGGCAGCAATTCTAAGGGAGCCAAAGCTTGGATAGATACCTCCTAGAACAGAGGTCCCCAACCTTGGCCCCTTTAAGGCTTGTGGACTTTGCTGGCTGAGGAACTCTGGGAGCTGAAGTCCACAAGTCTTAAAAGTGGCCAAGGTTGGGGACCCCTGCTCTAAGGGGCCTGCCAGCCCTCCCAGTTTTGCCCTACTCTTGACTAATGCATCATGCCAAGATCTTATGTTGCCTTGCAGTAAAATTAAAGGCTCTACAGCCCAGGCTGTCAGTTCTTCTACCTAAAGGCCTAATAAGACCAAGAGATGGAGGTGGTGGCAACCTGACGTAGGTCAGGGTTCTCCAACCTTTGTAAGACTTCAACCATGCTGGGTAGGAACTTCTGGGAGTTCAAGCCCACAAATCTGAAAGGTTGGACACCCGTGACCTAGACCAAGTGCATCACTGCCTTTTAGTCATTTTCCAACCTTGTGGGCTGATATCGAGCAGACGAAACACTCCCGAAGGCTTCCTAGCTGTTCTTTCCCCACTCCCTCACTCCCCTCCCCGGCTTTAGTCCACCAGCTTCGCCCACAGAAGGCTCACTTCCTCAATGCTGGTGAGACAGCAGCAGCAGCCATGTGTTCAGCCACCCAGGGCGGGTGCTTTGCCTGGCACGTCTGGTTTGGCAGAGGAACGCTCTGGAGAACATGGAGCTAAAGGCAACCGAGAAGGACCTGCCAAAGACGAAGGGCTGACCAGGTTCTTCTGGGCTGTCAAATGGGCTGAGGCTGAACCACCTGGAAAGGGAGCGAGCTGACTTTGCACCACAAGAAAGCGAGCGAGCGCGCGTGCGAGAGAGAGAGAGAACTATCTTGTGTGTTGCAGAAGGTCCCACGCTGGGTAGGCGGAAGTTGTTGGCAAACCCAACGAGACTCTGTTTCTCTCAAGGAAGCTCAGCCGTCAGTTGAACCACCTCTCTCCGCGGCCTCACAATTTGGAGCAGGGAAAAAGGACCCACCTTACAGGCCCCCTGTGTGGAGGCAAACCTGACACCCAGGGCTGGGATGTCTCTCAAATTTCCTCGTCACTGGGATTTCCACCTGAAGAAGGAAATATCCAAAATAGGTACTCTCTTTTTCTTTTCTTTTTTTTAAAAAATGAGTCGAGGAGTCAATAGTAGCCCTAAGATTTTGTCCTCCGGGGAGGGGCTGGGGGCACCGTGTAAAGGCTGTGGAAATGTGGAGTTGCTCCTTTTCCGGGCTGTGTAGAGGTTTAAACCCTCTCCTCCTTCCTTAGCCTGTCTCTTGGCGGGTCTCGGGGTTGGTTTGAGTTTTGAAAGTTTTCTGCTGAGGACCAGCCCCCCGCCCAGCCCTAGGCAAATGTTGCCCCTGGAGGCAAAGATCTGTCTCTAGTGATAGGCCGTGTCAGGGCACTGATTTAAATCCATCGCCCAGTTGGAGCACCGTTCTTCTGCCTTGCAGGCAGGTGGTTTTTCTTTCCTTGCAAGATCTTGCTCTGGCTTTTGCCTTTTACGGGGGCTCCAGGGTTCCATCCTCACAAGCTGGAAGAAGCCATTTCCTCCTCCTCCACTTCTGTTTTTCTAACAGCCAGAGGACAGAGCTTGGCTGGCCCTTCCAAGCCCATCATCAGTGTCACTATTATTATTATTTTCGCCAAGAAGGAACCCCGCCCAAGGTTGACTGCATCCATTCCCTTCTTTGCAATCACTTTTTCAGGTGGCGTCCAAGAAGGGAAGGTGTATTGAAATAGGAGGGCAATCTTGGTTGGAGGCGGAAGGTTCTGGTGGATCACCCATTTGTGCGTAGCGTCTCTGTTGAATCAGGGTTTCTAGTTGCGCCTGCAAAATCTCCATTTGGAGGGTGCATTCTTTGCTTTGAGCAGACAAGCCAGACTCTCTGGCCCTCAACGCCTTCTGGTGTCATTCCCCCACGAGGCTTCAAGAAAAGGGACGCAGCGCAGGATGCACCAGGAAACGGGTTCTATCAGCAACGGATCTTATCCGTTGCTTTCCCCAAGGATCCCTGCTTGGACTCGGTTTCAGCACCAGCCCTTAAACAGGATCTGATCCTAATTTTCATGAGCACTTTGTCATTTGAGAGGCATTTTAGCTCACTGGTCCTGAGCCTGGCAGGAAGGGATCTGCTCTGTTTCCAAGAACCTTCTGAAGAAGTTAGTGGTTCCACGGTCAACCATTGTTGACTTACTGTTCTCCGACACCTTCCCTTTTCTTACCAATTTCCCTTCTCCCATTTTCATTTCTTCTCCCCCTCCAGGGCAGCCTTTCTCCCCGTCATTTACGGAAGAAACCTATTTTATCTTTAATTTACTATTTTGAGGCCTTTTGCTCTCCTTGTTCTTTTTTCTTTTTTTTTCTAAATGAAGATTTTTATACTGTCAGAAAAGTTGGATTTTCCCACACTTGCAAATTCCTCCACTTTAATGGGGTTGGGAGTTTTTATGTAATAGCTTTCTCTAGGAGAATGCTAACCTGTCAAGTTGTAGATTAGTGCTGTTTTAGACTAGGGGATCTCCAACCTTGGCCACTTTAAGACTTGTGGACTTCAACTCCCAGAGTTCCTCAGCGAGCCATGAATGATATTGGAAGAGACCAGAAGGGTCATCTAAGTCAGGGGTCTCCAACCTTG